CCTCCTGGGTTCAGGCAATTCTCCTGCCTCAGCCTCCTGAGCAGCTGCGATTACAGGCACACGTCACCATGCCCAGCTAATTTTTTGTATTTTTAGTAGAGACGGGGTTTTACCATGTTGACCAGGATGGTCTCCATCTCTTGACCTCGTGATCCACCCGCCTCAGCCTCCCAAAGTGCTGGGATTACAGGCTTGAGCCACCGCGCCCGGCGTGGTTGAGCATTCTTACAGCCAAATGACTAAATTGGGTTCCTAAGAGGAGCAGCTGTCACTACATGTGATGTATAATATTTAGCCAGGGCCGACTCAGGGGCTGTGTCATTTGTCCTATCTTTAAATTGAGGTCAGAGTGTCACACACAACCCCTCCCCTGGGGCAGGGTGGACTGGCCTAAGTTGCATACGCTGGCTGTCAGCTCAGCGAAAATGCCACATGGGGCTTGTCACTCTGCCACACACTAACTGACTCCTGGGCTGGCAGGTCACACTTGGTTAGCCCTCCAGGGCTGAACTCTGGGTTGAGCTAAACTGGCAGAATCCACTCAGACCAACCCTTGGTCTACTGCTGTACACAGACAGCCCACTCCTGCATCGAGTCTCTGTTTTGTCCAGGAGGTCCCTGCAAAAGGAAGGACCAGTTGTGCTCTGAGCTTAGCTCTGGGTTTCCACTGCCCACTGACACCTGCCAGCAAGGGTGGCAGTGGAAGCATTTACCAGGAGAGCAGGGTAACCTGGGTAAATACTCCATGCTGATCAGAACAGCCTCAGTCATAATTTAGGAGAAGAGCTGATGTGTCTATCCTGCCTCAATGCAGACGATTCCAGGCTTCTTGACCAGGGTTATGTTCCCCCATCTCCCAATGCACACATGCACACACGAAAACAAAAGCATGGTTAACTCTTTTGGTTCATTCAGTACACCGTACAAAACGTGCTTTGGAGAGAGAAGAGCTATTTCTTTGACACTCGTGGAGGAACAGCCTGAGAAGTGAACATGGGCTTTGGGAGAACTCTGCTGAGATTCTGTTGACATTTTCCTTTCCTTGACAAGGCTTCAGGTTGTCTTACTATAGGGAGCTGGCTGTGAAAATCAGTAATAACTTCTCAAGAAGCACGAAAAATGGGGGGGAATGTGAGTCTAGGTAACTAATGTCTTATAACGCATATGTATGTAAATATTACAGGCTTTAACGTTGAATTTTTTAAACAGAAAGCTATAGTCTGTAATTTTCATTTGTTATAATAACGACCTTTAATCTTGTTTGGAACCAGAAAGCATTTTTATCAGGTACTTCTGTTCCAAGGGATTTATGTCTTAAAGCACAGCTGAATTGGATGTTTGCAAAACTCTGCTGCAGGATAAGGTGGTCTTTAGTTTTGAACGTGTGAAAGGACTGCGCATTCTTCAACCAGGGTTTGAGTTACTGCCCAGGGTCATTGTCTCAAAGTAATTCAAGGAGTGATTTAGCTTCAGCATTTGAAATGTAGCCTTTATCTCCTGGGATCCATAAAAAAAATGTGAACAGGGAAATGGTGGCTAAGCAGAGCCTGAAATAATAACTTGGCAAAGAAATAAGTTTATCAGGTCGAGTCAAAAGATGGCATCCCCTGTTACACTCAAGAAATGCTTTCTTCGTGTAAATGTTTATACGGACATATATAATAATGATGGGGACAGTTAAAGCCCCCTGCCATCAAAAACAGAAAGTCAGTTGGCTTTGTTATTGGTTCTTCATTGGCTCAAGGCAATTAACTGTCTCAGTATAGCCTTGGGGGAGATTATTTAACTCCATCATTGCCATTTTTCCATCTTGAAGGGCAAGAAGGACCATTAGAAGGTTTTCAATGGGTTGCGGAAGTGTGGACTCCAGACCCCCAATGTTCGGTACTCTTGAAAGGAACAGAATGGGCATATTTGATGTGTTGTACTCTTCATTTACTTTTTTTTCTCCGCATCCCAAATTGTCCATCAGTATATTCCCCTTCACCTTACCTGATCTTCGTTTGATGCCCAGTCTCTAACTAATGCTCTGTTTAAAGCTCTCTTAATTTGTTGGATATGAGTGATTTGTGAATCCGGGATGTAACCCTGAGCGAGGAGAAAAGGGAATTGAGCCAGCATAAATCTTAATGGGCAGAAGCCAAACAAATGGGAGCAGAAAAGAAGGGTTTGCTCCCCTGCGCCCCACCACATGTATAATCCAGCGTTAACCGAGGAACACCTCTGTTCTCTAGACTGAGGAGAGACAAAGGAGTGATTCTTTTTACACCCAGCCTGGCGCATTTTCAAGTGACAATCTCGGGCCCTCACTGCCTTTGGGACATCCACTCTGCTCTTTCTCCCAGGCCTCAGCCCAAGAAAAACATGCTCTCAAGATTAGCCCATAGGCAGTTCTTGTGACCTGGCTAAAGAAAGAAAGGAGACCTGTTTGTTTTAAAAGTCAGGCACAAAGTGTCAGGTGGCTTTGATTTATGACAGAAAGAGGAAGAAGAAAGTTGGAGTAACAGCACTATCCAAATAACCCTGCCCAGGAAACCTGGGGGTCAAGAGAGCTTATCAAGAGCCTTTTATAGGTGAGCTCTTCCGTGTGAAAGAAAAAAGGCCGGAAAGAGGGAGAGAGGCCAGAGAGCAGGCTGCCAACTCACTTCCAATGGGATTGGAGCGTGTTGTATGCCTAGAGATAACCTGGTATGTGGTTATAGGTGAATCAATAAACAATTAAAAAAAAAAAACAGAAAACCTGTCATGGAGTTTCTCTCCTTCCCTGCACAGTCAATACTTCTGGGTTTTCATGGATAAAATCAGTGTAAGTACTGAAACTCTTTCTCTCCTCTCTCACCCCGCTCTCCCCCGTTGCCCGAGATGGCCAAGTTCAGGCCTGTCCCATGCCGCTTCCCTCTGAGCCTCCCTCTCAAGGGCCATGCAGGCAGCTGCAGCAGTGCCAGCTGCGGGACGGGGCTGCAGGTCACTGAATTGCCGTTCAAAAGCATCATCTTTGTGGCGTCTCTCATGCAAGCAAAGCCATGTGCTCTCCTGTCTGCTGTCACATCTGTGCCTGGTTTGCTTAAATATTGTTTGCAATGGGGAGGTTTTAATCTGGTTATGCAGAGGGAAGCAGGGCTGTGGGGGCACGTTTAATTGGCTCCCAGCAGAGTGGTGAGCGCTTCTATGGCGTGTGGGTTTTTTTTTTCCCTCCCTCTAGAAGTGTTACCGTTTTCACGTCCTATTAATGTCCTCTGGTTGTTAAATTACAGCAGCACATTATAGTGCACTGGGTTCCCTCCTGGAGTGAATACAAATGAAGGGCATCTACTTGTATTTTTAGAAGTTTTGGGATAATTTCGTGATTTGTGGCTTTGATCAATCCTGTTGACTGGTGTATGTCTGCGCAAACCTGTTTCAAATAAATCTTTTGTTAAAGTAAGTGATTGGACTGTGTTTTCTTTTGGAATTTTCGTTTCCACTAATAAGCATTTACTGCCACAGGGACCGTGGCCTGTAACACAGGATTTGTCAGCAGGTGCAGGAGAGCCGACGCCCGGGCAGCAGTGTTCGGTGGCAGGAGCACGGGAGAGTCTGAATTGCAGATGAATGCATGCTCCTTGCTCTGAGGCAAGGCCACCTTTTCGAGAAAAGAGTCCAGGAGGCCACACTGAGTTCGGATTCAGTCACTCAAAGGAAAGAATGGTGCTTACATGACCTCCCTCCTCCATTACTTCCCCCCCTCTAGTTCATCTCAGTTGGCTACAAAAGGAGAGGGAGGCAGCTCAATTTCAGTTGGTGAGCAGGAAATTATGACATTGTTACTTTAGAAAGAGGAAAGACACCCCTGCCCATTCTCTGTAGGTACAAGGAGTTGCATTCAGGTAAGCATCCATTGCCTCCAGGTTCTCTGTGATGCCTCAGCCAAGGCAGCCTCCTCGCACCTGGGGTAAAGTGGGAGGAAGCTGGGGGGCCCAGATGTTGGCCCCTTGCCTCGCTTTGTTTGGGTAGCTCTATACTTCCCCAGCAGGGCGTGACCTGCAATGAAAGACAGCCTGCTAGATGACAGTTCTCTGTAGAGGCTTGAGCCTGGATCCCAAAAGACTTCTTAATTGCACTCTGAATTTATTGCAATTTTCCATAGCGGACTTTGATTCCTCCCAGATGGTCCAGTCCTATCAGACATGGATTTGACCAACTCAGGGCAGTCCTGGCCTCGGTGGCTGTGTCCCAGGCATGGAAAGGCCTCACTTGCAGGCAGAGAGTTCTGCAGCTTAGAGCTCACCAGCAAAGGGCTTTCATCTCCTGCTCTACATTGGCCAGGCCTTTTTTCCCCCAATGGTGAAAAAAATAAAAATGATTTAACACAATCAACAGCCAAGTGTTAAATTCCAACCTTTGCCATTTCTTGTTCGTATCTTTACAAAATCTGCCTTTGCTGCTGCAATGGTTTTCTGAAATGTCATTCTTCACTGGTGTTTAGCAGAATAAACTCGAACCACTGAGAGGCCCTTATCAGCTGAAAACAGTTTGCAGACCCTAACCTTTCTACCTAAAGCAAAGTTCATTGTAATGGGGTCCTCCAAAAAACTCTTAGGATACTTTGAAAAATGATTCAGCTTCTGCTACTATTTTCAGAATGTTTATGGAAGAGACATATGTAATGTGAGGGGTTAAAGTGTACAGCAAATTTGTCCAACCTGTGGCCCGGGGCTGCCT